ATATATATATGAACTTCTGGTTTCTTGTCAGCGTTTATTGCCTATCTGCACAGACAGATTAAACCAGCGTTCACTCCAGTCACTGGTGTTGTATGGTTCCATTCTCTTCACATTTAATCTATTCAACATTTATGTGGTTTTGTCTCGAATTCAGTTGAATAACACTAAATTTTCTTACAGTTGCATGAAAACATCTTAAATTGTCTCACAAACGATCAGTTTACCTGACGTGAAMATAACTCAAATAGTTCATTTCTTGAGGCTGTGTTGACTGTAACTGAGGGGGATTAAAGACTAATAAAGCATCCATGCATGCCTTCAGGCTCTGCTTTGTGATTTTTTTGCAAATAAAACAGGCTCATATAAATATCAAGTAACTACATTTTTGTTTAAATATTTAGATTTGTAGTCCACTCATTCTTTGATAGGTCAGAAGGACAAACAAACTTTAATTTATGATAAAACTTCTTATACTCCTAATCCAATAATGGGAGCCGTATTGAACAGTTTGCCTGTCAGGAGAGCAGGTCTAAGCAGTGCCAACAGTGATGTAGGTGCAAAACCTTGATTGGATTAACATTCTCAAGTTGCGATGGCTTTAACGTTGTCATTTTCCATTATTGAAAAAAAATCCAGGACCTTTTAAGAGCAACATAAAGCACATATTTACTGTTTGATAATGGGTGTGCCATGCAGTGAGAAAAAGCTATTAAAACAAACATCTGGAAAGTTTTTTATGCGTGTGTCTCCAGCATGAYGTGATCCATATCTCTGGGAGGAGTTTCTTCAGTCTTCTGTTTTGTATTACACTTAGACCTTTATGAGATCACACCTCGTCCACACTGTAAAACTAATCATGACGGACAGGTTTTGCTGCGCGAAGAGGAAAGCAACATTTTWGATCTGTGTTTTCACGTCAAATTATTACATAATAACACATTATATATGAGGTTCAGCTCAGCTTAACAGCCGCCGACATTCAATCACACTCCCTTTATTGGAACAGAACGCCACCCTGTCCCACACATACACACACACAAACACACAACAGCAGCTTCAGCCTGTGTTGGTCACCATCTGCTTTGAATTGTGATAAGTTGGGTCTGGGCAGTGGTCAAGAGAAGGAGGAGGAGAACGAGGCTTGGGTCTCATCTGGTTCTAATAGGTGATAAGAGGAAACTGAGCCATCCAGAGAAGTGCCTGCAGGGCGGCATGCCAGAAATTTCCGATGAAGGGTGGAAGGGAAGAAATAGGTGCACGTTTTCATTCAACTGACCTACATAGGATTTAATTTAAAAAAAAGAAAAGAAAGAAATTTATCTGTATGTTTTTTTTAAAATCTCACCAACGATTAGCAGTAGAAGTGTATCGATGACTTAAATGAAAATAGACTTCTGTTGGCATGAGCATTACTGGATTTTGTTCATTAACAACAAGCTGACTGCAGGAAAACAGGAACGTAAATAAATGTTCAAATTGATTTGCTGCTGGTTCGAACACTTTAATAGATTCACTGTTTAATCTGCAGCCAGAATAAATTCTCTCATCTTCTCTTCGACAATAAGGTTCCTWCAGCTCTTCTAATTTTCTGTTTTAATGGTTTGGAAGTGAGCAGGAACGCATCAGGACTGCAGCTGAGCCTTATCAGCGAGGTGTACTATTTATCAGCCGAAAAGTTCATCTCCATTAGTCAGCATTACCATGCTGCCTCAGCTGAGTCTGTAGAGTAATGGGCCATGGATACGGCCCATTCACAGTCATTACCAGAGGCAGCTCACCCCGGAGTGTGAAGCAATACCTCAGTCTGTGGCTGGCAGGGTGCCACGAGGACAGAAAAGCTCCCCTCTGAGTCTGCAAGGCTACCTGTCGCATCACATTAGGAGCATCAYCCCTCTGACATTTATTCACGTGTCGTGAAACGACAGACCGCGACTTATTGGACGGTATCATAAATTCAGAGCAGCGAGGATAAAAATGATTCTGTCTGTCCACGTTGGCACGTTTACCTTACATTTATGTGTGGCTGTGTACTGTACCGGGATGGACAGACAGGGCAGGAGGTCAGGGTGTTCTTTCACARGCTCCAGTCTATCAGCTGGCGATGAGCTGGGGGCAGAGAGATGCTGCAGCTGCAGCTGGGGCAGAGGAGGAAAACATTCCTGCCAGGTCAAAGGGCAACTGCCGTGCTTCCTGCCATTCAGAGCGCCTGGACTGGAGGAGTTTGAAGGGGGAAAGGGAGCAAAGAAATGGGTGGGACTTTCATGATAACCGACACAGTTTCAGAGCTTTTCAACTTTATTCTCTGAGAAAAATCCAGTCTGCGTTAAGGACTGAGGAAATTGCAAGTATCCTCTTGATCTCCTCTTGATTTCTGACTGCCAGCACCGTGGGGGCCCACCTCCGTCACTTCATCGGTCCCGTCAATCCTCCTCTTGCTGGCTGCTGTTTCTCACAGGGCCTCCCAGCACCATCTAGTCTCTTGAGCGGATGGAGGTGATTTACTAGTGGCCCCTGTGTTTGTTTTTCCTTCCCCTGCTGTTGGTTCTGCTAAGCGCCCCGCTTAGCTACTTAGCTGCAAAGCATCGTCCTTGTGTGCAGATATGTGCGTGTTTATACGCGTTACCCATAGTTCAGCCTGCTGGTTTATGTTACTTATGTGCRATAGATGTAAGCGCTGATGTTTCCAAAGTGGTCAAAGTGGCAGGAATTTGAGTTTTATAGAAACAGGCGGTTCTAATAGAGGATCCGCAAAGCGTGACAAATTTGATTTAGCTGACAAAGCTGGGGCGCACACTCCACAGTGGACTTTCGGCTGCCTTTAGGTACCTGTCATAGAGTGCCAGTCATCTATAAGAAGCACTAATGTAACGATTTAACACATGTGGTCCTGAAAATGTTCCCTGAGCAGGTGGAGAGAGCAAGCAGACTGTCTCATGCTCACCACACACTCGGGTGCTGTTACAGAGTAAAGAACAAAGGCACCGCTGTCATCTAATTGGCCAAAAAGCCCGAGGGGAGGGGCTGTGAGGTCGAGCTTCTCTCTCTGGGCGCCCATTATTCGCTCAGTTAAACCAGGCGCTACGTGGCGTGGTCCAAACCAATGCTATGGATACACTTGTCATTTAGACAGCCTAATTAGAAGTAGCTGCCCAATGCCTGACCTCCCCTCCACCACCGCACCGCATCACACACTCCTGCTTGGCACTACCTGAGCTCAGACACACCTGTTCCCTGCCGATAGTTTCTACAAGAATCTTCTGTCTCTGTAATATTTTTGTCACTTTTCTTGGCACGCGCCTAATGATTACTGGCAAGTTCTGCACCACTTTGTGTGAGTTATTCTAAATCAGGGATTCGCTGTGAATAGGTAAAGYACATTGTATGACTTGCTTAATTTAAATTATCTTAGGGAAAAGTATATGTATGTGTTGGGTCTTGTGCATAATAAATTATAGTTTAAAAGTGTAACTGTTTTAAACGTTGGAGGGACTGAGCAGAGAAATATAAAAGATTATGAATTCACAAGCATATTTGCTCCGACTGAAATCACAGGTCAAAGTAATGTCTTTAAGTAATATATTTCATGGAGCTAGCAGTAAGCAGAATAAAGTTAGTATAAGTGCTCTCCATCTGAGGCAGATTTTTGTGATGTTAGGTGTTCCATTAGCTAATTTTATAGCGTTTGTGACAGGTAAATGATGGACGGCTTCAGAGGAACTACAATGGAGTGTTGTGGTGGAATCACCTGTTTAAAAAAAAAACAATGAAGACCCCAGGCTATTTGCTAAGATGCAAGATAACAGCTGGATTCAAGCGATGRGATGAGCTGAATTTGACCGAGAAAAAAAAGTGCAACCATGGTCTGCTCCAAACATTTCGTTGGAGGTAAAAGACCAACACTGGACCACTGGGATCCTATCCCCACATTTTCTGTGTCTAAACAGGTACAGTAAACTTTACATTTTTTTTTACAGTAGCCTACGGCTAGCTTACTCCTAGCATCCATGTGGCGTTCTACGGCATGCAGTCACACCTCATACTTACACAAATTTTAAACATCACAGTAAAGTTTCTTTAAACGATG